GATAATGATAAGTGTGCCAGGCATGTGTTTTGGAAGAAAAGGATAAAAAAGTGCAATCAAGCAAAGCCAAATTAAAATTACACTGTGGAATGATGGTAATACCTTCAAGATGTTGCGAATTCTAATCAGGATGTAACGGATATCCTGAGTATACAGGCTGAATCTTTAGAATATGCAACATAAAAGCCATTGCTTTCTGCTGAAACAGTGAATTTGTATATTTGATAACAAAGCATTTGACCCTTGTGTGAGTCCAAACTGCTGAATGCATTTGAAGAAAATGGGATGTCCTCCCAACACATTGTACCTAGAACTGATGAAAGTAATTCAACCAGTACAGTACCTGCTTTACACACTACCTATTGCGTTAGAATAAGGAATAGTATGAGCACTGAAATACACAGAAAAAGAAAGCATTGCTAATAATTTTACATAATCTCAGAATTACTTAAGTAGCATGATAGTCACTGAAAAAACAAGATGTTGACAAGGCCTGTTCAGCCTTCCTGCATAAGCAAGGTGGTCATCTCATCATATTTGTGAAGCCATTAGGTGTTGAGAATGCTCGTAGCAGCGAACCCTACAGCAGAAGAGCACCAGCTCCGCCAGCCAGCCTCACAAATCATCAGAACTGATGATACTCAGGAACGTGATAAGAGGTAGAACCTGGCAGAATCTGTGGTAGTCCACAGGAATTAACCCCATCTCATTAGTAGATAAAACTCAATACAAACAAACAAACAAGAGGAAGTTGGTTTTGACTTCAGTACCATATACAGAGCAGTTGCTGACTTCCCAGGAAAACCCAATGATTTGGGGAAGGTAAAAGTAGCTTGTAATATGCCAACCTTTAAAGGTCTTAACTCAGAGAGTATTAAAATTTGCAGAGCATCTTACCATAGCTCTTTCAAATCTTAGGTATATGGAAGGCGTTGAGACCATAATGGAGGAAGAGGCAGCACAAGCATGCTATGCATGCAGTATTGGTGACCTTACAAGTTGATCCAGCGAGGCGAGATTTGGAGCCCTGTACTTAGAAAAGAAACCACTAGTAGTTTTTGCCTCACCGGTGAAACAAACACATCAGCAAGGACTGTTTTGCAATAAAGTTTCCGCAGTGAAAAGGTCAACACTATGATTGAGAAAACAAATTTCCAAGCAGAAAAATCCCAGAAGCTACCAAAAGAATTTGAAAAATCATTGCTACTCCCAAATAGCAGCAGCATACGATATTGAAACTGTAACATTTGAATTTATTTAATGACTTTGAAAAGACCAGTGAACACAGCAGCCTTGTACCAGAAAAACAAGGTGACTAAATCGTAATATGAGAACCTTTATGTTACCACAGCAATGCAGAAATCAAGAAAAACACACAAAGTTTCACTCAAACAATTAAAGTATGTGCTAGTTTCAAAAAGATGTTGGAAAAGAATCTGAGAATAAAAAGCACAAGATAAAGATGTGCTTATGTTTGTGTCCATTGTTTTGCTAAAATGGTCAAAGACCAGAAAAGCGGCCCCATGTACCTCCCAGGAATGACAGAACTGTCAAGGCAAATGGAACATAAAAATATTCTGTACAAGCAATTGAATCACCCTACCCAAGACACTGAGAATAGAAACTCTCTTGAGAATAGGGTCAGACTGGAATAGAAAGAAACACCATGTACTAGAGCAAGATGGGATAGAGCATGAGTAATCGTGATAGCTGGGAAAAAACCTAGTAGATGTGGCAAGATAAAACAGAAGTGTATAGCATCTTCAACAGGCCCTAGAGCAAACTAAAGAGCAGATCTTCTTACCAAAGGAAAACAAAACATGGAAACATACTTTAGTATTGCAGGCTACTAGTCAGGCTTTTGGGAACCAGGCAAAATGTCAGAGGCTTCCATAGTACCCACGGAGGGTAGAGCTGCAAAGAACTATGTGGTCTCAATCACAAGATCTCAGTTTACCTTAAATTAGATCACATATTTATTTGAGAACAAGAATTTGATTACATCTGACTGTCCCATAGATCACATATTTATTTGAGAACAAGAATTTGATTACATCTGACTGTCCCATATAATAGCCAGGCAAACAGCAAGGCTGAGTTTGCTGTACAGATTGCTAGAAGTATTGACATGGTGCAAACAGCAGAGGGAATGTTTTGCATTCCGTTCTTGAATGTGGAAAAGATTCCCACAGAAAAGTTTACTGCAGCTGAGTACAATGCTTGAAGTCACATTTGGTAACAGACTAAAGGAGTAACAGATTAGAACCGTCAGAAAAAGGCCAAAGATAGGAGTCTTATAATTGCAATCCTGATTTGTGTTTAGATACTTCTTCATTGGAAGCAATCGACACTTTGGAAGAGAGAATTCCTGATTCTCATTCCAGATCAAAGGGAAAATTCCCCATCTGGAATATATTGAAATTGTGTATCTAGATGGTGGGAAAGATACAGGCATGTAATGAAGCATGTATCAATGACCAAAAAGTGCCATAGTTCCTAACTAGGAGGTACTGGGAAAAAAAAAAAGGGCTATTAGTCAGTGTGTCCCCCTGTGTCTGCTATTAATTACATGGAAAATTTTTCATCATGAAGACATTTAATTTGAAAGGCCATGAATCTCTGACTTGTTATTAAAGACTTTTTTTTCTCTCTGTACTTTGTAATGCTATTGCCACAATTATATGAAGATCTCAAAAGATATGTACCCCCTTTGCATAAAAATAATCCCTAACCTGGACTAATTAACAGAAAGCTGTACATAGGACAAAACACTAGAAATTCAGAAGCAAAGGCAGCAACTTGATAGTTACTGTGGCTTAGTTTTTTCCTCTTGGACAGAGACAACAAAATTAACTGACTTTTCTAAGATCTGCCATAGAACTGCTGTCAGGACCAGTTCTGCAATTGAGCTAATATTCTATTTTTTCTTCCTTATATCAGTCACCCCCATCAGAGCCAAAGATAAAATACACAGTTTCCTAAAATCTAAATAAATCTCTCTTCAAAGCATACTTTTCTTGTGCTTACTGAAAGAAAATAGATGATTTCTACTTACGCATTCAGTTTATTCATATCTAGTCAACTCATTTACATAAAAAAAAGAAATGGAAAATTTATTTTGCTTGTGCAGTTTCAAAGCTGTAGCTTCATTGATAATGACAGATCAACTCTGTAATTGCTAAAAATGTACGCTGCAAAATGGGTCAGAATCTGAAATTGTTAAGTGAGCAATTTTTCTATGCATATGCACATGATATTTTTCAGTGCTTGTGGATCCGGTCAATTCTATGTAGGTATCTGATAAACCAGCAAAAATTGTATCTGTGTGCAGCACTGATCTCTTGCTGTAGACTCTCTACCAAACCCCTCAACAGCTGAACTGCGACAAAATGTTTGGCAAGCTGTGTAGGTGATGAAGCCTGATTCCCTCCAGATCTGGGCTTTGTGTCTACAGCCTCTGCCGCCAGAGAAGGTACGAAACAAAACTGACGCCCTTCTTGCAGCTGATCCCTTTCTAACATCCCTCTCCCAAATAGAGCGGTTTGGGGTTTTTCCCCCTTTTTTTCAGTATTGGGGGGGAAGGCATTAAATTCACACTGAAATCTTTCCTATAGTGGGGGTAAAAAAAATCTGCTCATCTGTTATTGTACAGCCTCAAGAAATATGGAATCCTTCCTGTTGAGATTTCTTTTCTGAAATCTGGTTGACCCCGTGTTCAAAACTGTTAGGAGGACAAGGTGAAGGTGGGACAACAGACAAAACATAATGCTTTACAGCTTGCCTTAGGAGAACATACCGAATGTTCTTAAATGTTTTGTGACATAACATAAAAGGATACCCATTTGCCTTGTTCAGGGGCCATAAAACCACCCAACACCAGAGCCCCCTAGGTTGAAAAATAATGCGGAAACGCCACTGCTGAGAGTGGAAGACGCTTGTTTCACGGGCTAAATTTTGTGGTACCGAAGTGCCGCCCCTCCCCAGCACGCTGCCCTTCCTGAGGGACCCCCTTCCCGCCGCCGTGCCTCGGCCCCCCC